CACAGCAGGAGTCAGCGCGTGGACATCACTGAGATCAGGGAGCAGACCACGAAGGATGGTCGCTGCCTATGACATAGCCATCAGAGTCAGAGTCATATTCCCGCATCATTGTGAGAGGTCTGATGAGCACAGATGTGCTGGAGAGCACTGCGCTCATATATTATGCAAGTCAAAGACGATCGTTTGGTTCAGTCCTAGTGTACAAAGAGCAATGTTTTCAGACAGCCGATGGGTTGTCACAGCCCGAACCCAAACCCTCGTTATGGGAGTGCCGAGTTGGGCAAGGGTGGATTGTCAAGAGATTGGGGCCATTCAACCAGTGCTATTTAGCAAAACCCCAGCAACCTACTGAAGTGAGAGACATTACTCACGCTGTATTGCAAAGTGTGGAGAGGAGTGGAAAGTGCCAGTGCCTCTCTGTTGCCTTCCCTGTACGATGTTCTGCACGCTGTGCACCAATGTCGAACATGTCGTCCCCTAGACGTTTCTGAGGAACCTGACATTTAACATCTATTCTAGGTATCTTATACTTGACCTCTCACTGAATTATTGATGATTTGTCGTACTGTACTTTGAATTAAGGTTCCAGTTTCAATAAAACCTGTACTATTTACACCTATGTTTTAGAGGCTTGCAATTTAGAACTAATACACTTTACTTTATTGGGTTACTCTTATTCTGACTATTTGGTGATGTAGACCTGTTTCTGGTTCTATTATGTTCCTATTGTTTTTGTAGACTTTTAGGCATGGCTCACCTAGTAATTTCTCAGCCAGCGTGGTGAGCTGCTCGATGGTCAGGCCCCTCTTGGTGGTGGAGGAGAACTGCCAGCTGAGCACCTCGGCCACCTGATCCCACGTCCCCACCGGAGGCTTGGTGTAGAAGTTCACGTTCTGCACAGAGACAGCCAGGTAAACATGGTGTCAAATATAAATGTAATTCCCCCATTACAAACAGATATTCAACTGTGATGTGTCAGCAATCTCCCTCTAATGAGTTCAGTCCCTTTCCAGCAGGGGGTGCTGTCTCACCTTCGGGTGGTTGGTGAGCATGTTGTACCACAGGATGGAGGCCCAGGCGTTGGGCATCTGGCAGATGTTGGAAATGACTACCACAGGCAGGGAATGAGTCTGCACAAACAGAAGAATATTAGTATATATTATGCATTATTATATGAAAAGTCATGCACAATGATGTGAAAATATTCCGGCCTTCTTCAGTACATTGTCTTGTAAAAACAGCTCTGACACTAGGAAAGATTCTCCTCTTCTTAGAAAGGTAACATATTTTGCAAATATAAGCAATGATAATATTTCAAAACGATAAAATGAAGGCTGCAGAAAGAGGATATTTTTGTGTACAAACAAATCTGTTGTGGCCGAAAATCAAGTATTAGGTTTCTTTCATCTAGGTCTTATTCAATTAGAAAAATTTAGTAACAAGCTAGCAGAAATATCACTTTGTAGATAAAAAACGAGACCAAAAAAAGTAAGCATCACTGCATCTTTTGACTGATAATGTAAGCTCATATGTCTCATTACTTGTCTTCAAACCATCTGCTCTGCCATAAGGACAACAGTTTCTCACAGAGGCTACGCACGTTGCTCTGAAACTCACACGGCTCTTTGTGTTTTGACACCTACGTAAAGATAGAGCTCTGTGGTGTGTTAGAGGTTGGAGAAAATACAAAACGAAGTGAACCTGGTTAGGACATGTAGAGTAGATGACGCCAGCATATTAAAGGGGGAATCATAATTAGTTTCAGCAGAAATACTGCCATCATGGGGGTCTTTAACTGGGTTAATGGAGGAGTAACGGCTCATAAGAAAGCAAAGGTAGTGACAGACTTCGGAGGTGGATGACTTTGTTAATGACTCATGTGTTTGGTGACTAACTTTGTACGGGGGTGTCAAAGAACAGCGCTGATATGTCTTTATATTATTCTTTAGAGTTTTTGATGATTTCTGGTGTTACATGAAGCCTACTCTGACATTAAGGAAACACAGAGATACTATGTGATACTGACCTCCAGATCGATCTTCAGGCCTTGATGGTAGACTTCCGTCTCAAAAGTGATAAGATGGAGCTCCTCAGTGACGATCAGAGAGGCCTGAAGAAAAAAGATTACTCAAACCTGTATTCAAAAAAGCCTTTATGACAGAAATTCATCAAAAAATACAAACATTTTGAGCATTAAATTACAATAATTATCAGGAACAATACTCACGTCGCTATTGGTCCGGCCACCATTACCACATCTCTGCTCTCTCAGGGTCTGAAACAAACAGGAAGTGAGTGCTACAGTAGATCGGAGGACGCAGCCAAGCAGTAAGAGATTTTCATCTATAACTCACCAAGTGTTTAAACTCTGCTGACAGGCTGCCATTGTTGGACTCTTCCATGTTCATGACTTTTGTGTTGGTACCGAGGATGTTAAACTTTCGTGACCTGGGGAAAAAAAGCATAAAGTGAGGATCTATTCTAAAATATTATACAGTCAGTGTTCAGGCATGGCAAGTACATCTTAAAAAGACGTACCCTCGGATTGCAGCCACGTCGCCAGATTCCCTGAAAAATCAACAGTTCAAATCAGTAAAGCGCTTTCGGCTAAGGTCTTCAATCAATTGGGTGTCTTAGTGCTAAAAACTCCAGATAAAAAAACAAACAAACTTACTTGTCAATGCAAACTTTAATTTTCAGCTGGTAATTGAGTTCAGGAAACTTTACCAGTAACCTGAAAAAATAAGATAAAAAGTGTTTAAAACGCATTCCAAAATGTAAAAAGATACACTCTAACCCTAACCCTAACCCTTTCATTCAAAAAAGCATAGACATATCAGTGTTTCCCCTTAATACAAATAGTGGCGGCGCAGCGCCGCTGCTGAAATATGAGCGCCGCTGCTAGGGGGCGCCAGCCAGGTACCCAAAAAATAATAATAAGTGGCGACCCTTTTTCATTTTTAATAGTTTTTTATGTGGATTTGTAGTATTTGTGTTACTGGCATAGGCGGTCGCCTAGGGCGTAGGCGGTCGCCTAGGGCGCTAGATCTGGGGGGCGCTGTGCTGTTAGCTCTGGGAGGGAAAAAACATTTTTGACCGTTGGCGCTCATCCAAATGTTCGGCCTTGATGTAACAACATTCATAATTAAGTAAATGTAACACCCTTTTCACCCCAGTTACACATTTAATTTGCCCTGTACGGTGGGCGCTGTAAGTGATGAAAGTGGGGGATGTTGGCTTATCAGGCGCCCGCAGCTCACAGCCAAAGTGCGAGCGTGGGAGCTAGAGAGTGAGCAAGGGAGAGGGCGCACCGGTACCGGCGCTGTTGTTATTAGAATCTGGTGCTAGCTGCGCTAACGGATATAAGAAGTAGATGTTTCTACAACCAGGGTGGAGGAGAGCTCTCCTGTCAGACTGAGAGGCTCAGTGAGGTTAAGGATTCTCTGAGTATTTAGATTGTAGTCTAATTTATCTCAGTGGGTCTCAAACGTTTTGACCACAAATTATGTAAACGCATATTTCCAAGGCAGTGCTTTATAATTATTAGGATAAATAAAAACAGGTTTGAAATCATTCCAATGTATCACTATAGACAGTTAACCTAAAAATATCGTGTAAAGTTGATGAGATAAAAACAAAACAATATTGCATTAAATGTTAACTATGGGTACAAATAAGATATGATATGAACAACATATATATAATAAGCTACATTTATTTGTAATTGGGCTATGGTAGGTTATTGGTTATTGTTCACATACTTATTTGATTATTAAAAAACTGTAAACCAATCTTTGTTCATATGGGATCCTTTTAGAGTGTGTTGTCCCCTAGATCAGGGGCCGTATTCACCAAAGGATTTATCTACCGCTAGGATGCTCCTACCTCGCGCTAAGAACATTTTACGTAAGGGAGTTTTTTTCTTAAAAGTTATTTCACAAGAAGCCGCTGAGACCTACTTCATACTAAGGATAAATCACTAAGGAGTGAACTAAGATTGGACGCCGCCGTTGCTATGGGATTGGACGTCGATTCTCGTGCGTGCATGAGTTTAGGAAGCGGGTCGAGTTACGGTGATGGTTGTTCAGATGTACGGCGGTTCTCGGTGAAACTCATCCGCAACATCCCACAAACGAGCCCACTAAATCACCGAAAACAAGGAAATAGCCAGTTAGGCAAATGGTATTCCTATCAAATCAGTTTTGGACCAGTGCAGTTGCAGGGAATACCACGCATGATGATAACCGTTTGTGGCAGGACCCACTGATAATGACGTTGTATATGCACGTTAAAGAGAGAGAGCAAACCAATAAAAATACGTAAATTGCATTAAATCGAGGAGGCAATTAAAAGGCACCCTGCAAACTATTATTCCACAATGAGGCATATTTCCAGCACTTAAACACTTTCAATAACAGCCCATACCGCCGTGTCAAGTCCCCTATTCATGATGAATGAAAACAATCTGCGTGTTGATGGAAATGTACTCTTGGTTCTTCTATTGACGAACACGTCCTCATCTTTTGATGGCGCAATATTTTTATGTGCGTCCCGTCGAATAGCACCGACCACACCGGGCATAACCTGCATTGCATGAAGTTGGCTTTGATCCTGTGTAGTTGTGATTGTCCAAAGGAAACCGGTATAAACTGTTGGCATGATATGTGTCTTAGAGACGCGGTCGTGATGGTTTTGGTTTATGGCACAGTTTGCGTGATCTGATGGTTGCCGATATTCCTAAATCCGTCGGTATTGCAAAGTTGATTTTCCCTGTTGCTAATATCGTTAGTGTTGCCCAAACATTTTATTTCCGGGGACTAATCGGGTTATATCCTGTAGTCGGGGATGTTATTGCATCCCGCACTAATTCCACAACAAGTTTGATACCCTCACGGATTTAGCCTATATCTCTTGATCAATTCACAGTCTTCCATTGTCTCCAAAACTTTTCTCTCAGCCATTTTCAGATTCTTTGTGAATAAGTCTTACTGAGTTAGGAGTCCTCTCGAGGACTTTTAGCTCTCCCAGACTTAGGGTGTACTTGTTAGGCTAAAATACTTGTGAATTGCTCTTAGTGATAAAATTAGGATCCTAAATTTAAGACGACACGCCGCATTATGCTTAGGAGTTCCCTAAATTCGCAGTTAGGAGCTACTTTAGCCCTAAAAATCCTTTGTGAATACGGCCCCAGGTCTCTAGTTAATTGTGTGCTCAAAGTGCCACCAGATTGAAGCATTTACCTGTAAATGTTCCGAAAAAAAAAAAATTCCGGGGGACATACCTCCGGACCCCATAGAGGATGTGACGTCACCCCCCAATTCAAACATGTTCCATACCAATACTGAATAAATTTGAAGCCATCTTTGACATCTATTTACCTATCGTCAATAAGTGTCTGTTTTGCAGTGTATTGTCCTTTTGTAGAGATTTTTATTATTCTTTACACATAAAATGTCGCCTAAAATCTCACCTAGGAGGCAAATGTCTAGATCGGCTCTGGTACTAGGCCTCAAGAGCCTTCTTGTGCTGACACAAGAAACAAATTAGCGGGGGCGTACTTCGCACGCAACGAAAAAATTTCCACGCGACCGTGCTCACATTATGCTGGGCCCATCGTGCTTAGTACCGTGCCTATGACTCACATCCTAGGGAAACAACTGCACTATTACTATGAGGCATTTGATCTTAACCTCACTTTATTTGTTGAACTGCACTTCCCGTTTTTATGACAGTGGTCATGTCTGGATGCATGGGCATACAAGGCTGTCTTCGACCACGAACGCAACTGAAACACAGAGCGGATCATGTTTTCAGA